TCGCGTCTCACTACATGGTTCACGTAACTCTAGTTTTATTTAGAAACTATAGAAACGTTTCTAATACGTAGTTTTCTAATATAATGTATTAGAAAACTACGTATTAAGAACTATTTAAGATATAAGTATTTCATTAAGGAACAATGAATAAATTAACAATAGAAAATTTTATGTTAATAGAGATTATTTAATATAAATATAAATTATTTAATATAATATAAATTATTAAATAAATAATATAATTATATAAATTATTTAATAAAAAACATTTCAATAATAATTTGGCGGAAGGTGCTCTCCCAGTATATTTCAGAAGCGCCCCTGAGGCAGAGCGTCACATGAGCGCCCGGCGGCTCGGCCGTGCGGTGGTGGAGATCGCGCGCCGAAATCGGCCCGAAATGTGCAAATCCCTGTGAGAACTGATTTAAACCACTCTTGCTCCGTTAATTTTTTGTATCCTTAAAACTTCACAAAAAATATTCTTAAATACATCGTATATTTCGAGAAAATAAAATAATTTTATTAAGAGAATCCTCTTCTAAGGTCATTGCTATTTTTTTAAATAAAATTATATAAAACATTTTTGTTTGTTGGGCTCAATTTTTAAGATATTTAACTGGACTATTTAAAATAGGACTCTTTTTGTATAATAATTACTTTAATTATTTTTTTTCTCTATATGTAATAGCATTTTGATAATCTATTATGTAAACATATCATGACTGTTCATACCAATTCACATACAAATTCCAATGAAGAAATTACGAAATTATTTTTCCACAATGAATGTGCTTTGAGGTAAGAAATAATTATATTAATTTTGTATACTATAGTCAAAAATTTAGTTACAATGTATTTTTTTCAAAACCATTAAAGATAGCGAAAAAATGTTTTTGAAACTTTTCTAGTTGAGATATTTTAAAATTTTTAATGACAAGACGGGGATACTATTTCCAATCCTCCAAAAAGGAGTAAAAAAGCGATATTCCATTTTTTTTTAAATAAAATAGATTTTTTTTATTAACAGCAATGATTTTCAAATTCGTTATTAATAATTTTCATAACTTTAATTAATTTAACTTGTCTTATTAGGAGAAATGGGAAAAACAAAATGGAAAAAAATGTTTTAAATAAATGTTGTCATATTAAATAAAATCTATCAATGAAATGCAGAAATTTACATATTGTTCCATTAAAAAAATGGAGTATCGCCATATAACAAATAACACTTTATGTAAGACATTTTATATAATATTATATATGTATATATACACATACAGGGTGTCCCGAAAGTTTTTGCCAATCGCTTTTGTGTAGATAGAGCGGATTAAATTGAATCGAAAAGTTCTCTACTATTTTGCAATTTTCACAATAATTAACAAGATACTAATTACTAAAGATTGCTAAATATTGATCTTGAATAATTTTTTTACTCAAATACTATCAACTTTATAGAAAAGCTGTAAGAGACAAAAATCATTTATTTTCTTCTCATAAAGTTCTGAGAATTTTTTCAGAATTTTTTCAGAATTTTTTAATACCGTATTTTCTCATGTTGGTAAGAATAAGAAAATGCAGTACTAAAAAGTTGATAAAAAATTCTTAAGAGTTCTATGAGAAGAAAATAAATGATTTTTGTCTCATGAGCGAGAAATAACACGTTGAAATTTCTTGCCATTTGTAAATAAAGAGAATTTGCAGAAAAGGTTGCTTCGATTTAAAGAAATTTCGGTTAAATGGAAAAATTTCTTTGAGTTAAACATAATCTTTTTAAGTCAAATAAATTTTATTTGATTTAAAAAAAATAATTTAGCTGGATCTTAATGTTTGTATTCTTATGTGAATTTATATATACTACGTGTGTAGTCCCCAGAAACGCGCGCCGAAATGATTTCTCGGTCTTGAAACGCTAAAAATAAACTACTGCAGTAATATCACGAATTAAATTGACTAGCAATTTAACAAATTTTTGATGCTTATTCGCATCTTCGAAACGATCTTAATAATGTTGCATGACATATTAAAATCTATAAATAATTAATTCTTATTGCGAAAAATATTACCTCGGCCGGGAGTCGAACCCGGATCTCTTGCATTCTCGCACGGAATTTTCTCTGGATTTGTGTATTTCTCGCTAGGTGTATACGCGGCTTTAGAATTGCGTTTCAAGACTGAAAATAAATTCGGCGCGTAGTTTGAGGAACTGGATATGTAATGTATAAATTCATATAGAATTATTTCGGCGCTAAATTTCCAGCTTGATCAGGACCTTTATTCCTAATATTCCTTAATATTGTCGTAATTATTTTTATTTTAAATAAAACAGTGAATTTAACTGTGAAATAAATATTTTCAGAAAAAAGCTGATGTTGCCATTGGCCTCTGAAATTATACCACAGCCTATTCTTCGTACTTATATTTCCTATGCCCGAGAATATGTGAAACCGAAATTATCCGTTGAAGCCGCAACAGTATTACAAAATTATTATTTAAAACTTCGAGCGAAAAATAAGCAATTTAGTAGCATACCAATATTCAACAGACAATTAGAAGCTATGATTCGATTAACTGAGGTTTAATACATTATATGTGCCATAAATCAAAATATATTAAATGAGATAATTTATATCATTTTATTATATAGGCTTATTATATAGGCTAGGGCAAAACTGGAATTACGTATGGAAGCAACTGAATCGGATGCATTGGACGTAATAGATATATTGCGATATGCAATGATAGATACAATAGAAGATGATCGTGATGTAATGCCAAAATTACATTCCGATGGAAAATTGACAAACAAAAAGGTAAATTGTGCGTATGTGCATGTGTGTACATGTTTTTACATATTTAATAAATTATTTACATTTACATGAAAAATTCAAATGTCTATAGCACTTTATATTCTTTATTTATAATAATTTTTTCTTACAGCTAAAAACATTCATAAAAATGCTAGAAAAAAAGGTAACTCCAGGCAAGAAACAAATATTTTCAGTGAAAGAATTGGAAGCACTTGCAGTATCTGAAAATATTTTAATGGACAATTTAACTATTTTAATTTCAAAATTAAATGAAGAGGGTATTTTATTAAAAATTAGAAAAGATATGTATAAATTTGTTCATTACACTTCGTAATGTAATATAATGTTTATATATAGTGTAATATAAAAATTTAATATGTGGTTATGTAAAACATGTGATATTAATTATGCAAAAATAAATATAAGTTTATTTTTCTACATTGATAAATTTCTGTTACATAGTAATTACACAAATTACATTGTGAAAGTATTATATACCAATATGTGAAAATATTGTATTTTTTATTTTAAACAATGGTGTAAAACAACAATAATACTAATTTAAAGCTAATAAGAGTCAATGCAGGACGAGGTGTGTAATCTTAATGTGGAATGATGACTTAACTCCAATATCTCTGTGATGTCTTCTTTATTCACAATGTGCTAATCGTCTTAAATTTACTCTCTATTGTTGAAGAATATGGTATTAAAAACCATGGTTCTCGATCTTTGTCTTCACCAACATTATTATTAATATTCTCCTGTTCAAATGAAACACATTTGAGAAACAAATATTTAAGTCGATAGTTAATTAAAAATAAAATCCACTGGATAGTCATTTTTTAAAAGAGTATGAATTACAAGCCTAACATTTTTGTCATGAAATTTAGGATCTGAGAGTAATAAAATAGCTCTGTCAATCATTCCTATCACTGTGTCCTTTTTCTTGAGAAATTAGGTGAGAAAATAAATAATTAAGATGTATCGCCCCGAAAACGAGGGCTTGTGATACCAGTCAAATTCTAAAATATTGTTATTTTTAATTATAGTCAAGTCTAAAAAGTTAATTCTCTCACCTCCATTTTCCATTGTAAATTCGAGTCTACTATGAAATGAATTAAAAGTTTTTAATATGTCATCAATTAAATTAAAAGGAGCTAGCTGCCAATACTGTCATGTACATATCTCAGGTAAAAAGGCAATTGTAATCCTAACATCTTAAGAGCCCAGGTTTCTAAATCTTGTAAAACCAAATCTACAATGATTGGAGAAAGTGTATATTCGTGTAAAAATATGTATTGGTCAATATCTAGTAAATTTGCTCACTTGTAATTTTAACTTTATTTCAAAATACTCAATCGACTATCAGAATCGATCTCCAGAAAACAGACAATATATTAGGGTATCTATCATGAAACTTTATCTTTAGAACTGCGTTCGGATATTCGCGCCGGGTGCTCCTCAGGTGTCATGTCATCAATAGGTCTGTTCGCGTTGCTTGCACTTTTGACACTCGACATCTTCGCTTTCTCTCTTTTTAAGACAAAATATGTATCTATTTCATTAAGTGCAAAAATATTTGGGATTTCATGCAACGCGAACAGATCTCTTGTTTAACTTGTTATGTTTGGTAACAACAAGGATGATATGATATTCGGGGAGCATCCAGGTGGGAATCCGAGCTCAGCCTAGGATGGAAAGTGAAAAATGAAAATTTTTAACCATTGAGGTTGATGGAGAAATTTTTCACTTTTCACTTTTCATCCTAGAAAAAAAGTTTTATGATTAATACCCAGAGAATCGATTGTGTATCTTAAAATGAGGTAAAAATAACAAAAGTAATAACGTTTTCGGCCCGGCCAGGTTTGCACCAACCTGGGTTGGATTAATGGCGTTTTGTGCTCTCCTATTGGTAGAGCGGGTGACGTCAACCAATAGGAAAGATTAATCCATTAATCCAACCAAGGTTGGTGTAAACCCGATCGGGCCGAAAACACTATAAGTAAATTCATGTAAATATTCATTCATAATTTTATTGGTTAATATCTAGTGAATTTGCTCACTTTTGTAATTTTCACCTCATTTCAAGATACACAATCAACTCCCAGGAATTATCGATAGATTAAACCTTAAACGTAGTTGCTAGGAAACTCGATATTCATAATAAATTAATAAATATGTTACTCAAGAAGTTGTTTAACTAATACTCCTAAATTTATACAATTACTAAATTTGACGTATATCAATATCATGTAAATTGAAAATATAAACGTAGAAAAAAGAAAAAAAAGAAAAACCTAATTAGAAGTAAAATTGTCAATATTAAGCGTTATAAGGAATTTACAAAAGAAAATGCCTTGCGATGGTAAAAACCCAAATTGTGATAGAAGACGTGATTTACTAGCGCAATTAAAATGTTTAATCAGTTCAATGGATAGGAAGTAAGATTTGTGTGTGTGTGTTTGTGTGTGTGTGCCTGCATAACTAAAAATAAGAAAGTGTGATTTATTGAATTTGTATATTGTAGGAAACCATGTGAATGGGACGAGCCATCTCGTCCACCAATAGTATACTGCCCTACAAAATTATCTTTATGTACTCCACCTTACTGTGTGAGTAATGTTAATTTTTATTAAAGAAATGTTTAGCAATATTTTATATTATTTCTTCTTGAAGAATTATACAGTTTTCTTGACTTGTATTAATAAAAACCTAACCTTTAAAATATTTTTAATTGTTTATAAAATTACATGTTAAACTTACCCATGAAACATATGATAATTGAATGATAAAAAATATTGCAGGAATCTCTTAAATCGTGTAAATTCTTTGATTTTCGAGCAAGCATAATGTATAGATGTGAATGTATAAAAAGGAATGGTTTACAAGATAGATGCATGATGTGGAATTGCATGGGTAGACCAGAGTGCATGACGAAACTGTATCCAATTTGCGAACCTGGTTGTACTGCATTGTTGAAGTTGACAGATTTAGGTGACGTAAACATTGCCCTTAGAAAATTCTACTGTGCAGACCAAGCCAGAGAGACAGCTTTAGCTGCATATTGTAGATTAGCTTGTACCAAAGCTCATCAAAGAGAAATTCTGTTGTGTGATCAAAATAATAGCGAGAATGTTGAAGCTCTTTGTGCTTCTGCAATGTCCAATACAAGAAGCATATCGAATATCAGAAGTAATGCAGACAGCAATGATAAGCTACCATTCCTCAATGATTTCTCCTCTCCATATCAATTTTGTGTACCATCACCATATATAGCAAAATCTTACGATATATGTTGTATACCTTACAATTAGAAAAATCATCTCTTCTATGTAATGCACTCTATTAACGTATACATATATATACAGGGTGTTTGGCGACTACCGCATTTTTTGTCATACGTGGGTAGAACAGCCTATACTGAATCAAAAA